ATATATATATATATATATAGAGAGAGAGAGAGAGACACACACACACACACTAATCATTTCCCTTCTAATCTTATTCCCAATCCATTATGATGTATCATACGTACCCTCATTTTTTGTACTGCCATTGATAAACAGTTAAGAAGTGATGATACTATATGAATCTTTTTTGTTCGTTTTTATTGAAATGAACAAATATCCTATTTCTATACATAGAAGATATATTCTGAAATATGCACTTGTTTGGTCTCCATTATTTACAAAATACATTTTTCTTTCTCTTATTTTCAACCACATATTCTTCAATAAAATAATATAACGCACAAATCCCATTTTTTTTCCTTTTTAACCACACATTCATTATTCTAAAATGTATGGTACAACTTGAACAATAATGGCTACCCTTTTCATACTTCCATTTTCCAGGGTCACCAATTTTCCGGTTCCTAATCGAGTTAAATATATAAAGTGGCCCATAGTTTATCCACTTTTTGGGAGCCAGAAACAATGGACATACATATATATAAATATATGCAATACATAAATTAATAATATCGAAATAGGATGGTTTGACACAATGAGGGCCAGTGGCACTTTTATTGGGGATCCAAGAACAAATGGGGCGCCCGTTTTCTACTCCTTTAGATGATATTAATGGCCATCAAAATAATGCATACTTTTGATTCTGTTCTTACTTTTTGTGCTTTAATTCCGTAATTAGCTCATTGCATGGTTTAATGCTGCCTTAGATTATGGACTTATGGTCATGTATTTCTGCATTAACTTATTAATTCAAGAACTTTAAGCATGAGAATAAGTTAAAACGACAGTCTTCTGCTCTCTAAATCCCTCCGTGGGGTACATCGAAAATAGTTGAATATAGTTGAGAGTAAGAAATCAGTGCTTTACCTAATTGTTGCAGATGATTTAACTAAAAACTTTGATTTCTGCAGATCTCAATGGAAGAATAATTTCAAGAAGATCACAATGCAACACTCACTTTATAGACACAACTTTCTATGCAAGAAAACGAGCTGCTATCGTCCAAAAAAGAACATGCTGCTTTAATTTGGTCCCAAATTACGGAGTCCTTCTTTGACTTTTAGAAATCAATACATGGATAGAAATTCCAATCAAATGCTAATTTTATTTTGATGTAATATATAAAATTGTTAAAAGTTAAAGAATTAAGTTAGAGAGAGAGAGAGAGAGAGAGATCTGCACATTCCTTTCCACAACATCTTGTAAAATAAGTAGGAGCAACACATTTTGTTTATACTACTTTAACTGCATTCGGGCCCAAACCTCAAAAGGATATCTGATATGCATCTTTCGAATCAAATTCAAAGTAGTCTTGAACTAGTTAACAATATCTAAACACAAGATACAGGCATGCATGCACGTATATATTAAATATCTCGATAGAAACTCCATGTGTCAAGGTTTGAACACTGTGTGCATGCCTACTGGGAAACTATATGAATAAAATATTGTTTCCTTAAGAATTTTAAATAATGAACATGATTTTAGCTTCTATATCTTTCTTAATATTGATTAAATAGCCTCATCCAATTACCATACTAGTATCGACCAACTTATTTTAGGATTTC